CAGCCCAGCAGTGCACTAGCCCCGACCCTGGTGCCAGGCACCGTCTGCAGGTACCTGGCGTCCTCCGCACGAGCGCCTGAAGGTATTAAAGCCGAGCTGGTGAGGGCAGACTCGGTCTGGGAACCGACGTTTCCCTCTAGTGAGGGACTGTTGGCATTACCTCTGTGAAGTATCAGTGCTGGTATGAGTGGGGCTAGAAACGCAAGGATTCAGATGGATCTGGGTGCAGGGGAGAGGTGGAGTAGTATAGATGGAGCTCAACCTCAGGAGTACAGGCCAAATAGCTAAGGGACCCCATCTTAGGGATCAAATAGTGAAGATACTTTTCTACTGAAGATTGAGGCAGAACATGGGACCTGCTAAAATAATTTCTTTTTCTTCCTCCAGCAAGATAAGGGAACATGCAAGTTGCCCAGAGAAGTGATTTGTTAAATACAAGCTTCTTACCAACTCAGGCTAAAGGGAAAACATAACGCTGCAGCTTTAGATACACACAGGAGACGGGTATTTCTTTGAACGCAGGTCATGCTTTATTCTGAAGTCTGCTTGCCATTATTCCAGCCTTAGCACAGGGACCATGCCAGGACATAAGTGACATTAGGAATGATTACAAAGCATTGTTTGCTGGGAAAATAACTTACACCTATCTCCCCTATTTTAATAACAGGATATCCTATTAGCATGGCAGAGTAACTCCTGGCAAAAGCTGCCTCATTTGCCAGCTTCTTAATGGCTGCAGAAGGTTTCACGCATAGAGTTACTCACACACAAACAGATAATCCCTGAAGTCGTTTCTATGACTAGGAAAGATAATCCCACTGTAAATTGGCATGCTTAAAAGAAAATATCGCCTTGCTAAGTGTTTCTCTATGAAAGAAAAAGTGTTTGGCTGATCCATAAAGAGAAGTCTCTTTTTGAGAAGCAGCCTCTTGCCCCCAGCTGTTCCTGCTCTGCTGCAGGGCTGAGCCTCACCAGAAACACAACAAGCAGAAAGGAAGTTGTGTCTGTAACACATTTTTAAACTTGTAGGAGGAGGAAAATAGTATCAGAGATCAAGTGCATCATCCTTTCGAGATCTCTGCAGCTTGAATGAATTAAAAACAAATCCAACATTAAAAATAAGTTGAGACCACTTCTTCTCTCCCACAGCTTGTCTCACCAAGAATTAGCCATTCACACATACAGCTGGGCCAACTTAAAAAGCTGAAGTACAGGTCCCCATCTTCCCTTTCAGTGCAGCAGCAGGATTTAAAAGAAATAGTAAATCAAGATACGGAATCACCCCACCTTGGTTATCAAGTCTCCTTGCAAACTACATCTTACTGTAAACTCAGCCTGGGCCAGGGATAGAGCAGAAGGCACTCTTGGCATGATTGGCAGTTGGACACACAATTAAAAGAAAGTGCTGTTCTAGCCAGGGAGCCTTGGCCAGAAGAGCTGGAATTTTTCAGAGATCTCCCTCTGGTGCATTAGTTTTTATCTCCTTTGCAGCCAGTGCCACCTCCGTGTCTTTCTCTGCCTTCTCTTCCAGCTTCTCTAGCACTTCACACCCTTCCCCCGGGATCCTGTTTGCTCCCTTTGGTTCTTTGGGTATCTTAGCCACCTCCTTTGACGATGTAGCCTTTTCCACCACAGGTGATTTTATATCAGTCACCATACCTTTCTTCTTCTTCTTCTTCTGCTTTCTGCTATCCTGTGACACTTTAGCTATCGCCCTGAAGGGACCCACAAGCCAGTTTAGAGGGATGTTCTGAGTTACATACTCAAATAGGTCATCTAGGGACCTTCGGGCTTCTGCCACACAGTCCTGGCTCTGGGTCAGGGTGGTGCTGGAGAGGTCCTGGAAAGACATAGCACTGGAAAAAGAACTATGGAGCTTGTGGATATTTCGAGTGGCCTGATACACTGCTTCTTGGATGTTGCTGGGGAGGCCTTGGATGCTGGCTTTCAGATTCTCATAAACAGGTTGTAGCTGCTGGGTGATGATATGCAGCATAGCTAGAGTCCGTGACTCTACCTGCTGGGAAAGAGATATAGCTCAGTTACTAGAGCAGATGAGATGTACACCATCCACCAGAGGCCTGATTAAATACGCCCTTCTAGGGATACCTCTGCTTGGGAGGCAGTTTTAACTTGGTTTCCTTTGGGTTGGGTCAGGCTCCAGTCCACCCACAGCTGATGGAGCTTCTCCTGCCCATCTAGAAGCTTCTGGCCAACCTCTTGTTTCACAGATTCAATCTGATGGGAAAAATGAAAGGAACAGCTGTATTGCAAGCACAGACAATCAGAGAAGCATGAGTGCTTCCCTCCCAGGGAGGGATCCAAGATGACATGCAGCTGGTGCAGGATAGAGGAAGAACTTCCATCTGGATAGTAGGGCAGGAAGACTACAGACAGGAGGAAAAAGGAAAAAGCATGTTTGTACCAGTTTTATTGCCAGCTGTAGTCGTGAGAGAATATCCTGGGTGCTTTGCTTAACGCACTGCAGTTTGTTCAGGGAGTGCCGATAAGCTCGGTGGCGGACTTTGTTAGAGAGGGAACCCAGACGCACAAAGTAACTCCGTTGCTGTTTCTGCTCCTCCACAGAAGCCATACCAAACCCCTCCACAGCAGTGGCCAGTTTACCTGGAGGAAACAAGAACAGAGATGCAGCTGTGCTCCACTCCCCCAGCTGTCAGTGGGGGGGAAGAGGTAAGATCACCCATTGCAAAACATGAAGGCTGAAGCTTGCAGTAGAGGTTTGTAGTTGCTCAGATATTAGAGGTAGGCTAGTCCCTGCTCAACGTGTTCTCTTCAGATAAGCAGACTTGACAGATAGGTTGAAGCATGCACCCACATGTTTATCTGCCTTGAGGCAGATAGGCAAGGACCAGCTAGCAAATGCTTGAACTCTGTCCCATACCATGTGGCAAGTGAGTGTTGACAGACAGCCAACTTGGTGACAAATTCAGAGCTACCTGTCTACTTCAGAGGATGAGTCTTGCAGTATCAGGAGCTCTCTAGTCATGCAGGAAAAGATTTGCATTTACAACCGCCAGCTAAGGATTTTCTCACCTAGTTCTTCCTCTGTCATTGGGAGGTAGTGATCCACCAGATCTTCTGATATACCCAGGACAGATTCGACACCACCTGCCACTGCTTGGCTCACTGCCTTGGCTTTGCTTATGCTGTTG